GTGGACAGACGGACCAGCAAGCGATACATTGAAAAGGAGCGTGAATAATGTTTGAGCTCTGCCCTGAGCCAAATGCAATAAATAGGAGACTCATCCTCATTTGATTGTCATTAGGACACTTTAAAGTCTTATCTTAATCAAAGTAACACACACATATTACTTTAAGCATTTATTTTGAACTGTTTTGTGCTTGAGTTTTTGATGATTACCTTCATCCCTCTAACTACCACTGTTTCTGGATTTATCAACTTCACATTCACTCTGATGTCTTCCTGTTACAACAAAGGACAGTTCAGCTCATTTGTGCCCCCCCTTAAGCCTCCTCTCCCCAAATTTACCCATGTTACCTCAAGTAATACACTTAAACCTCTGTTTTGTAATCAAAATTCAAGAGGAAACAAACAACACAGAAATAGCTGATTCATCAAGCTGCATCCATCCTCTAGTTTGGACGTGTGGACAAACTACCACCTGTGTTACGGGGCACCGGCTGTCAGGGGCCCAGGCAGTCACGGGACAGCCGGTGGCCAATGTGGGCTCCTTGTAACGGTGCCGTCTCTAAGCAAGCCAGCCTGGATCTGGGCTGCCTCACGGTCACTGCTGTGGGGACTGTGGATGACTTCCCCGGCTCATCCGTGGTGACGCTCAGGCTGCGTGTGGTGGCTGCGGCTGTGTGTCTTGAACTGGCTGCCCCTGCCCGTAGAGTGGCTGTGTGTCCCCGTGACTTCGTTTCACCGCCTCCCAGTGCTGTGTTCCCTGTCTGTGTGTTTGTTCCCTCCTGTATTTTGCTGGCGCACATCCTCCAGTAGCTTGCTCAGATCAGGGTGCACAGGAAGACAACTTGCTTTTCATCTGTGGGTGTCTGAACATGCCCCAGCTGTGCTGTCCCATTTGGTAGGTCGTTTGGCGGGCCTAGCATGGTGGGTTGAATATTGTTCCTCAGGGTTGGAAGGCTCTGGGCCGCCGTCCCCGGTAGCCTTTGCTGCTGCTGCGAAGCCTCTGGCCATTTCAGCGTTCATTCCCTCACCTGTGACTCAAACTTGTATCGGTGACATGGCCGCACGGTGCCAGTGGCTGCCATGAACAAAATCCCGTCCATCAGACACGATGAGCAAATGGACACCCGCCTCGGTCCAGGGAGCAGAACGGCCGGGGAGAGCAGCCAAGCACAGAGCAGGTTTGAAGCCCGGACTCAGAGAAGCCTGGCGGTGCGCGTGGCTGGACACTGCCTGGAGGCCCCGTGCAGGAGGCGGGGGCCTGGGGTGGACGCGTGGGGGCGCAGCAGCTGGGCCGTGAGAGAGAGCCCTGTCTCCTTGCTGCCTCTCAGCCGCGCCCACATCGTGGCGCTAGACAGACAGTGTGGTCCGAACGTTCTTGCAAGAACAAGTGCATCGGGTTTTTTAAGGAGGCACTTCTTTTTCTCCACAGACCTCAGGGAAGCTGTTTTCATTCTTAAGACAGACACGTGGTGTTTATCTCCCCTGAAGTGGTCCTCATGCGGAGGTGTGCTCACCAGCCGCCTGATCCTCAGGAACCTTTGCCGTGGGAGGATTCTCTTCTGGGAGCTAAATTTATATGAGATTGAGATCACACAGAAAGATCAGTAAATTGGTCCTGATTTGTGCAAGAAGCCAGTTGAGGAGAAGCGCGCTGGAAGATAATTAGGCAGATTTATCTGCCCTGTGTTGGGGAGCTCTGCATGTCTCCGCACACGCAGTATCAGGGGTGCTTGAGAAATGTGCCTTACGCTTTTAAGCAGCTGGATTTTTCCATACGGCTCTACCTGCCCTTAGGAAAAGTCGGTGCCCGTTGAAATTCCTCACTTGGGTTTCTTCGGAGTAGGCGTTTGTGGTACTCATGATGTTTGTTTATTAAATCACGTTAGCATGTAGCTTTCTGTGAAACCCAGTCCCCCCCTGGGAAATTCAGTCTGAAATCCTGAACAACAACCCAGCAAGGTGTGCTGAGCATGGCCGCCGGAGCTCTGGGCCAGGGACGAGGGACCTGGGCGTTCTTTCCATGCTCTGGTCCAGGCTGAGTGTTCGAGAGAATTTCTGAGTTGGGTGTTGAATATAAAAAACCGCATGCGCTCTAGCTGGTGGTCATTAACGGGTTTTCAGTTCAAGGACTTCAAGAGCTTGTGAACCAGCGGTGGTGGGAGTGCGTGTCTTCAGAGAGCCTCTGACAGGGCGATGTCAGCATGCAGGCCCCTTGTTCACGCGGGCATCTTAGCTCCGTGTGGGCCTTGCCGTCAGCCGGCTCCTCATTAAATGCTTGTCGGGTGCCTGCTGTATGCCCGGAACTGTTAAGCCCTTGATCTCTCGGGGCATCGGCTGTGCCAGCAGCCCAGAGATGGGGGGTGGGGGAGTGGGGGCGGCACTGGAGGTAAAACCTAAAAGGGGCTTCACAGCGGGCAAAAGACGCTGCATGGAGATGCCACAGTCAGAAATGGGGGGGTGTGCTGCCCACTGGAGCAGGATGGGGGGCAGTGCTGTGCTGGGCAGGGCATGGGTCTCAGGCTGCGGTTTCCCTGTCACTGTCACAGCCTCCCCAGGTCTCCTGTGTGTAGAGAAAGGGACAGAAACGATACTCTCCCTGAACTCTTTTCATCCCTCACATCAATGAAATGAGAACCTGGGGGAAACAAGAGATTTCTAAATCCTCCGCAGCAGTGGGCTCCAGGGCCTCAAGTGCCAGCAAGTGAGGCCTTCCTCACGTCACCACTGTGGGGTCTCACTGCTGCCGGCTTCCCCGACATACGTGCATGGAGATTTTCAAGCGTCTGTTCGCCGTGCAAAGTGTAATTAAAATTTCATTGGAAAGGACTCAGTCAGTGTACAGGTGAGACATCGGAGCGGGGCTCCAGGTGTCGTTCTCCTGCCTCTGCTGTGCAGTGTGGCGCCCTGGGCCGGGTCCTGGGTGTCCCTAGGGCTCCGCTGTGGGGTGGGCTGTGGCTCCAGGCTTTTAGGTTTGGGTTTTGGGTTTATTTTTATACCTGGACACAGCCTTTTCTTTCTGTGAGTTTAAATTTTTCGTTGTATCTTAGCCCGGGTTTTTAGGTGTTTGCAGGGGTGAGTTGCTAAGATACATTTATCAGCCATGTTGCCAGCACTCCAATTTTTAACACTGTTTTAATTGAACGGGATGGGCCATTCAGGACAGTCATTTAGACCAGTGCTTAGTGTGCATGTTAGGACTTTCAAGGGAATGGTACTCAGTTTCGGAAGCAACTCACTTCCGTTACATAATGATTATATTAAGTTGCAATTGCATGATATCTACTATTAGTTGGAACTTAATTGTAACCTGTTTTGGTTTTATGAATTCACATGTCTCTTTGGCTGTGGCTATTTAAAATGTATTTTAGTTTTTCTCAGGCAAGAGGCTGACGACTGTCCAGGACAGGACACAGTCTGTCTTTCGTTGAGATGTGACACTTTGGACTGGGCAGTAGCAGTCTTGCTCTCCAGACACAGGGCTGCCCTGGGGGTGTTCTCGTGGGAGGTTGGGGTTACACTCTGCTCTCACCGGTTCCATGTCGCTTTCTCCTCAGTGGTGGTGGTTCTGCCCCGGGGTCAGATGAAGGACCTCAGTAGCTTGGTGACCTGAAGGGGGTAGGTGACAGTTTCATTCTTTCAGGGATAAAGTTGCATCTTATGGAAGCATGCATTTCTATCCAAATGCTGCTTTTGGCTAGGAAAAGATGATATTTGAGCTGTCGTATCAGCCCCCTGCGCCCCACCCACATCATCAGACGTCCCATCCCCCACACACACACTTCCTTCAAACATATTTGAATGTTTCTATGGTGACGATCACGTAGACAGGATATTGGCGCCATGTTTCTTAGTTTGAAAATGCAGAATATTGTTCGTGTGTAACAGTGGTCGATGTGCTCCATCAGCTAGAAAAGAGCAGCTGGGGGGCCCGCCCGTGGAGGGTCAGTGGCGTCAGAACACCAGCAGCTGTGGAGGCTTGCAGCACGCGGGCCTCGCAGGCATCCGACCTGCGGGGCGTGGGGTGGGGGTGGGAATGGGGGCTGCAATCCGGCTGTTCTGAGAACTCGAGGTTCAGACCGCCAAGACGCTTCCTGGGGGCACACACTGCTGGAGACGCTTTCACTGTTTGCAAGTGTTTTTGTTCTAAAGTGAATTAACTGAAAATCAAAATAAACTCCTTAATCAGAAAAATCTTTTCCCCATCCTCTAATGAAGAGGAAATTAAATCTCTGTTATCAGAACTAGTCATGTATCTACAGCAGGATTAGGAGTTAAAATTCTTAATCAGATCATTGAATTTTCTGTGATTTTACTGGTTTTAATATCTGCCCCTCACCCCCCGGCCCCCCGAAAAAAAAGATGATCTAAGCTTACAGGACTTTTCATTGTTAAAACAACGGGTTGCTTGCACATGTGCCCAGAATACATGGGAAGCTATTGTACATCACTGTTCATAGCAGCAGAGCCCCACAATGGCGTTGGTGACTATCAGGATCTCCTAAAGAAGTTACAGCACGTCCTGGGGGGGCTGTGGCCACAGAGAGCCACATGGCATCAGCACTGTGCTGAGGCCACTTGAGGAAGTGAGGTGCCCGGAGGACGGAGTCGGTGTCGGTGGGGCAGCCAGCAAGGGCTTGGTCACGTCGCTTCCGTCAGCGTGGCCACCTTGGCAGGCCACACAGGAGGGTAGCTAGCTGCTGCTCGGGGGGCGCTTTTTCCCAAACCACACACTCTGAAGTTGGGGAGACCACAACTTGTCGAGGAAGGCCCACGCCCGGCTGGTCTGTCCCCACTTCCCATCGTCCCTGGACATGCCTTGACTGCCTGCCTGGCTCTTCCAGACACGTATTCGGGGGCAGCCTTTCTTGTATCAGGAAGTAAAGAAAACGGTGTGGTGCAGCGTGGGCGGAAGACACGCTGCGTTTGGAGGCTGCCCCTTTCTCACCGCCTCCTGGACCCTGCCCTTGGGTCCTCACTCCCCAAACACGCGTCTTTCCGCAGCGACTGTGGCCGCCGTGTACTACAGCTACTATGTGCTGCCGGATGGCACCTACTGCCTGGCGCCCCCCCCGCCGGGGGCCGACGTAGCCGCCTACTACGGCAGCCTGCCTGCTGGGGTGGCCGTGCCCAGCACCACCGCCCCACCGCCTCCCGGGACCACGCCACCACCGCCCCCAACCACTGCAGACGCGAGCAGTGGGGTGACCGCCACCACCATCACCACAAGGTGCGCCCCCCCTCCCCGTCCCCCGCAGCTCACCTGGTGCATCTGGGTTCTTGGGTAGGGGGTCCTTTTCATCTGGGTTATCTGAGGGTCTCTGTTACCTGAGCAGTTACGATCCAAACCCCCAAGTTCCACAGTTGCTAGGTAGGGCAACGGAGATTATCAGAGCGGACCCTGGGGCCGTGAGGGCGGAGCTCTAAGAAGGTGGGGCCCAGGTGTGTCCCAGGCGCCCCTCAGCCCCACCTGTCCTCACCCAGCATGGGCGGCTCAGTTGGGCAGGACAAAGCAACACCAGTGGGGTGAAGGGAGGCTGTGGGCCTGTGCTGTCGATGGGAGGGACCTGCGTAGCCGTTGACAGGTGGGTATCCGACCAGCACACTGCTGCCCAGTGAGGAAAGACAGGGGCAGTGGCTGGCCCCCCACCTGTCACGGGCCGCACACAGTGCTCTCCGTGTTTGTGGGCTGAGCACATTCACGTGTCCCAGGCACCCTAGGAGGTACTGGAATGTCTGAGATTGAAAAAAGTCTCTCTGGAAATGATGAAATGCTTGAATATTTCTGTGAAATGACCCACTTTCTTGCCCTGCTCAGTGGGGAAGTCAAAGGTGAAATGCAGGGTGATGGATCATGCTGTCCAGCTTTCTTTTAATATAACAAAAATCAACAGGTGATTGATTCTTGGTTGCATCTGAAAATTAGCTTATAATGGAGGGACGTGTTAGGACAAAAAAATGCACCTGTTTTTGTGACTTTAGTCTCTTCTTCAGTAAAAGCCCCATTTCCACCATTGGCGGTGACATTTTGGTCCCTGTTGTAAAGGGACCGACTTGATTGTATTGTTTGACAAGTTACCTCATAAGCAGCTCCTCCCTGTGTGTGTTTGGGACGGACGCTGGTGTCCCCGAAGTGTCTTACTTGTGACAGTGATTGTGCTCTTGTCCGCAGTGCCCTTGCTCCTGTGGCTGCCATCATCCCCCCGCCCCCCGACATTCAGCCGGTGATCGACAAGCTGGCTGAGTACGTGGCCAGGAACGGCCTTAAGTTTGAGAGCAGTGTCCGTGCCAAGAACGATCAACGGTGAGCCCCATAATTCAGTGTGGCTCGGACAGAGAGCAGCAGGGGTTTCGTGTCGCCTATTGTTTTTTAATCTAGCCGCATAATTCTTCGTTAATGTTTTTAATCCTTTCCTTATGCGTTTAGATAAAGACATCTTTTGATTATCCTGTTAAACTATAATATTTAGATGGTGTTTTTTTTTTATTGCATTCACTGTTTTTTAGTTTGCTTTGTTTTTAAAGTAACAAATGTTGCAGCTCCCTAAAATAGAAGTCTACAATTCATCCTTTTCAGGACTCTGCTGTGGAAATTTAGACATCTATGTTGGGGTTTCTTTTTGTTTGTTTGTTTGTTTTGTGCCTCGGGCAGTAAAACAGGACGTGGGCTGCGTTGCAGTGTGGCCTGTGCGACGGGGACATGGGCTGGGACTCCATACCTCAGTTGTCCTTGTCTGTAAAGTGGGCGGGATTCATTGCAGCTGCTGTGTGGAGTTGCCGAGATGCTTATGTGGTCGCTGCAGAGCGTTTAGAACAGCACCCGGCACGGCAGGTGCCCAGGCAGCAGTGGCCGCATGGTGGCACCTGGCAGCGTGTGTGTCTGCTGACGGCCGGTCCCCTTTCTGTCACAGATTTGAGTTCCTGCAGCCCTGGCACCAGTATAATGCCTACTACGAGTTTAAGAAGCAGTTCTTCCTCCAGAAAGAAGGGGGCGACAGTGCACAGGTATGGCTCGAAAGGCGGCCCGCGGCCCCTCTGGCCCGCTCACTCAGACACAGAAGCTCCTGGTCTCAGGGGTGGGACGGGCTGTGGGTTGGGCACCTGTTTGCAGGCATAATGCTGCCTAACTTCTCCACCTCTCAGAGTTGAATGAAACTGGTCGATCTGTTGAAATTTCACCCATATTTATAGTTCATTGATGACCATCAGTCCAGCATGTTCTAGAAAAAATCCCATTTCTTCAACCAGTCAATGTTTTGGTCGGCTCTTTTAGCGACTTCTGATGGAAGCCGTGTACTGTACTGTTGTACTAACATACACGTACATGTACGAAGTGTGAGCGTGCACGCTCACGGCTGATGTGGGCGCTGTCCATGGTGGACGCCCATGGCCCTTGAGCGCTGCCTGCCCACAGCACCCCTCACGCCCTCCCTCCGTGCACGTGTCCCCCCACATGTCTCTTGTGCGCCCTAGGAAGCATTTCTTCTTGTCCTTGTCATCCTTCCTCTTGCCTCCACCCTCCTTTTCGCGACATGTGGACACCCTGACCTATTTTAAACCTGTCTTGGTAGAGATAGCAGGTAGAGGCCTTGCTTATCAGCGGGTTTCTTCACACTTATCTCTGATTGCTCAAACCGAAGAAAACTGACTCATCTGTAGGCGATGTCAGTGTGGTGTTCTAAAAGTATTCTGCCATCGGTCTCCAAAGAGAAGGCAGTGAGCGTTGGTCCCCAAGACAGTGCCGGGCTGCAAGAAGCTGACAGTGGTCCAAAAGGGGGCGCCTCTGCAGTGTTTTCTGTATCAGAAAACAGCAGGTCTGAATTGAAAGTATGGTGCTTGGTGTGACTTCAGCAGGAATGTAGAAATGCGTTTGTCCAGGGAAATGTCTGTGTCCGTATATATCTCTTGTTTGACAAACGCTACATATTTTTTACACAACAGTTTACAGTCACCTTTAATCTCTGCAGGCTGTGTCAGCACCAGAGGAGGCCCCTGCAGAATCGGCTCCTGATAAGCCGAGTGACATTGGGGGGGGCGTGGCTGAGGACACAGCCGAGGCGGGGGGAAGAGGCGGCTCGGGGCCGAAGAAGGAGGTGCCGTCCAGTAAAGCCGTCCTGGACGGGAAGCTCGTGAAAGGTACGTTGCGGCCGCTGCCTTCCAGATGCTGCTCCACAGTAGGGGGAGGAGTTGGGGGTTCCCCTGGGGAGCGGGGAGAGATGCCACTGGCTCCGGGACGAGGGCGTGCCACGTCAGGCATGCTGCTCTGTAGGCCTGCGTGCTTGCTCGTACCGTCCTGGTTTGGAATTGAGGTCACCAGACGTCCACTCGTCTTAGGTGTGCCTTTGTTTGACAGCCTGGTCTACTAGGTTGCTGGAAACGGGTAGAACACTCCAGCAACGTTCCCTACCTCTCGGACTTCCGAAACTGCCTGTGCCAACAGTGGTGCCGCTGTCGTCGGCTTTCTTTATTTGTTAAAGCGAGTCCCTTGAGGCTCGACCAGGCAGAGCTCCGCTCGCCCCATCTGGTTACCTTCCGTGTTCTTGGAAGGAGTTGTAGGTCGGCCTGGACACACAGACGTGACAACAGCCAGTGTAATAAAACAAGAAACGCTGATGCGGGCACAGTAGGAAAGAATTGTATGGGAGTAGCACGTCCCACCTGGCGGGAATGAGGAAGGGGTGTTCAGGCCGGTGTCCCAGACACGGGACCGCGCCACCGGCCGGGTGGCGAGGGGGCACCACCTGGAAAGATCGCCTTGGCCAGCTGGTGGGGGCTCCACCCTCCACATAAGGTCCGGGGACCTCCAGCGGGGCCATGGCACACCGTGCACCGTTCAGATCAGAGGACTACCTTGATCCACGTGGTGACTTTGTGAAGAGGTGAGGCGGAGAAGCCACGTTGAAGGGTTTTGTTGGCACGATGGCTTGAAATAGAACTGTAACTGAAGTAGAAGAGGGCGTGTGTCGGGTGCAGGAGCACTCTGACAGCTGACAGTGACGGCTCCTGAGTCCCAGGAGAGGCACAGCCATGCGGCTGGAAGGAGCTAGGCTGCAGCTGTGACAAGGCCTTTCTCTGCAGAGGTGCCTGTCTGACAGGCCTGACCGGGAGTAGCCAGATTGACCCGATGGACTAGCAGCACTCAGTAACTTAGAAGAGCAGAAAGGTATCTGATCCTCATCCCAGAAGGCCCCCTGAGCACACATTTCCAGTCTCCCGCCTCCTCTGATTCTCACTGGAGTAACTGAAGGGATAGTGTCAGTAGGGAAGAAACAGGCGGTCCCATGATGTCTCAGAAGCACAAAACACCCCACCTGGAATTCAGCTTATAGGGAAGACAGGGACACTTTGGGACTTGGTAAAAGTGACCCCCAGGGCAGCCCACTGCCAACCAAGGAGGGGGCGGGTGGCAGGCCAAGGCAACAGCCCCACAGCTGCCCACGCGCCATGATGTTTGGTAACGGCAGGTGAATAGCACTCCCCTACTGCCGTGAGCCTGAGAATCTGGACAGCTGCCCAGCACCAGACAGGCCTGCCTCTGCCACCAAGATTGAGGGGAGCAGGGCATGCAGCAGCTCCGACGGTTCCTGAGTGACGGGAAACTTTCCAGTCTCGTGTACCCACGAAGTGGCAGGTGTCATAAACCCGCGCCCTGGAAAGGATGGCTTAGGCAGGCAGCCGTGACGCACTGAATGAAGTCAGGGAGCCTGAGGACACAGGCTCTCCTCCCAGACCTCCACGGCAAAGGTCAGGTGGAGGGAAGAAAGGGCATCCCGGGGAACACAGGCAGGCAGGCTGTCCTCCTGGGGGCGCAGGTTGGCCCATCAGACTAGGGTGTGTAACATGAACGCCACGTAATCAAGGCGTCGGGAACTCGGACTGGAAAGTATTCTGAATGCTGGAGCAGGCGGGTCAGTGCTGGACGGAGTTAGTCCCGGAAAGTGAGGACAATGAAAACATTTCTTATCAAAAAATTATCAAGTACAGTGAAAATGTCAAAAGCCCAGTGGACCAGATTCTAAATGTAAGCACCGACCTGGTCCTAGAAACATCTGGTTCACCAGGGCGCTTGGACCAGGTGTTCAATGCAGGGCTTGTTAGCTTTTAAAATCGAAAAATTGGCAATGGTTATAGGAGGCTGTGAATGAATTGGCCTGTCCGTACTGAGAAACACTGTTGCCGCTTTCAAATGGAAACATGTCTGCACTGTTCATATGGGGAGATGCTGCTGGACCAGTGGGAGCAGCAGGCTAACACCCATGTGTGACCCCATCTCATGTGTGCGTAATGTCATGCGCACCTGCCTGGGCCCGCCCACAGTTCTGTTCAGTGACTTTCCCTCTGAATGGCAGGCGATCTTTCGTTCCCATTTTCAACATTTCCCGTGGAGAATGTGTGTCACTTGAAGTTAGAAGTTAGGGATAAACACATTACCTACAAATGGAAGTGTGTTTGATGTGGAAGATGGAGGACTAGGGGCTGTGGGTTCCTGCACGAGTGTCCCCTGAGCGTCTGCAGCTCTGGGCCTGGCTCGCAGCACGTGGTGGGTACACACAACCGCCACCTAAGCCCTGCAGTCTCGCCTCTCCAGGCTCAGGGGTGAGCAGACCACAAACGCATGGCACAGGCTAAAGAGGGGAATAAAGGAGAGAGGGGACCTGTCTGAGGAGGGGTCATGGGAGCTGAGACTCGGGAACCCAGCTGACAGCTCCAGGCAGAGGGCCGCCGGAGTCCCCCATCCCTGCTCTCTAGCTGAGCCACCTGCCTGGGGGGGAAAGTTACCTGCTCTTTGTGGCCTCTTCCTCATGTGCGAATGGAAAGCGTGGCAGCCTGTGTCACGAGGGTGCCCGTGTTGAGGGAGGTGCAGTGCAGACTGCGCGTTGGGTGAGTCACCCTACAGTGCTTGTGAGTATGGCAGCCTTGGGCCCTGCGTGGGCAGGCGTGAGCCTAGCCCGCAGTGTCTGCAGCAGCAGTGAGCCTGAGTCGGACCCTGCACAGCTGCTGTGCAGAGAGCCACGTTTGCAGCTTGCTGCTGTTCCACTTTGCAGGAAGAAACAGTTTGGGAGTGATTGTTTAGAAATCATTTCGGAATGTAAAACTTTAGTCCCATGTTAACTCGAGTAATTTCAATTAACATTTAAGTGAGGCTTTCTCTCCTTTTAAGGTTTCCTGACTGTTTATTAACGAGACCATATTACAATAGGCAATTAAGGGTTGATGTTGTTAAACTGTTTTCTCTTATGGAAAATTTCAAGCATGCACAGTAACAGAGTGTGTGGTGTGATGGCTTCCACAGCCCCTCCAGCAGCCCCAGGGCCGGCCTCATTTTGCAGGGCTCGGTCCAGTGCCTGCCTGCCTGCCTCTCTCTCTCTCTCTCTCTCTCTCTCTCTCTCTCTCTCTCTCTCTCTC